GTCAAGAAATTTTTATAAAATTTTCAACATAAATAATTCCTGGCGGACGTACAATGAAGCATTCGTATATCTGCAGCTGGAAAAGGGGGACACCAAAATCGAACAAGACCTTCGGGGAGCCAGACCCCCCCACAACTCAGAAAGATGAGAGACTGGATTTCTTCATCTGGCTGACAAGCAGAGGCTGGATCTTGCTTTGCGCTGCCCCCCACCCCCACCTGCAACTGAGCTTACTCCCGCAGAGTACATGTGCAGCTTTATTAGGTAGTCTGAGAGATTATTATTTACAAGAGATTTTTTTAAAGGTAAAAATGCCAAAAGTGGCAGAGTGTGTGGAGCTTAAAACTCCTTTGCTGAGGAAAAAAAAAAATAACGCAGAAAGGAAAGGTATCTCCGCGTAACAAGACTTCCCCCGCCCGGCCAACCACCGGTTTCCAGAGATCGCTAGAAGGGAGATCATGCCACCCTGACGGATCTCAGTTGTCTTCATCGCTGTCATCTGGACTGATGGCCGGGCTGGTGAGGCTGTAGGTCGGCGAAGTAGGACTGTAGCCAGGAGAAGTTGGGGAGTACGTGGAGCCCTTGGGGGACGTCGGAGAGTAGGTGGGCGAGGTCGGGCTGTACTTGGGGGACGTTGGGGAGTAAGTGGGGCTTGTGGGGCTGTACTTCGGGGAGGTCGGCGTGTAGACGGGCGATGTCGGCGAGTAGGTTGGGCTGGTGGGGCTGTACTTGGGCGTGGTGGGGCTGTACGTGGGCGAAGTTGGGCTGTACTTTGGAGAGGTCGGGCTGTACTTGGGGCTGGTTGGGCTGTACTTGGGCGACGTCGGGGTGTATTCCGGGGAGCTGGGGCTGTACGATGGGCTGGTTGGGGTGTACTTGGGGCTGGTCGGGCTGTAGCTGGGGGAGCTGGGGCTGTAGCTAGGCGATGAGGGGGTGTAAGTTGGTGACTGCGGGGTGTAGCGGGGGCTGGAAGGAGAATAGCTGGGCGAGGTGGGGCTGTAGGAGGGGCTTGTAGGGGAATAGCTAGGGGAAGTAGGGCTGTAGTTTGGAGAAGTGGGTGTGTAATTTGGAGACGTTGGGCTGTAGCTGGGAGACGTTGGGCTGTAGCTAGGAGAGGTCGGGGTGTAATTTGGAGATGTCGGGCTATAGTTGGGGCTGGTGGGGCTGTAGCTGGGTGACGTCGGGCTGTAACTGGGTGACGTCGGGCTGTAGCTAGGGCTGGTGGGGCTGTAGCTGGGCGATGTCGGGCTGTAGCTAGGGCTGGTTGGGCTGTAGCTGGGTGACGTCGGGCTGTAACTGGGGCTGGTGGGGCTGTAGCTGGGTGATGTCGGACTGTAGCTGGGGCTGGTGGGAGAATAACTAGGTGACGTCGGGCTGTAGCTGGGGCTAGTGGGACTGTAGCTAGGTGACGTCGGGCTGTAGCTGGGGCTGGTGGGAGAGTAACTAGGCGATGTCGGGCTGTAGCTTGGGCTGGTTGGGCTGTAATTTGGGCTGGTGGGAGAATACGAGGGAGACGTTGGGCTGTACGAAGGAGACGTGGGGCTGTAGCTGGGGCTCTGTGGTGTGTACCCTCCGGGGGACCTGGGTTCATAAGCAGGAGACGTTGGGGAGTAGCTGGGAGACATGGCTCCACCTAGAGGAGAGGAAGAGGAACAGCGGTTAGCCGACAATCCCATCTTTTAAGGCTCCAGGGTTGCATGCAGGGGCACAGATGTGACTGCTCACCTGGCGAAGGGATATATGGACTGGAAGGCCCGGGAGAGCCGGGAGAGCCAGGGGTGGGAGACCAGGCCGGAGAATAGCCCGGACTGAAGCCACTGGCGTCTGAAGCGGCGCTGGGAGAGAAGCCGGCAGCGCCGGGAGTCATTCCACTACCTGTAAAGGGAAAAAGGAAAGCATTAAAACCAGATTTGGGGCCCATCAATTAGAAGGAAAAAGACAAAAGAATGTTTTCCTCTGGGCACTGTCCCGACCACTGGTATGTTTTTGGTGCCCGTTTGCTTTTTCCCAAAAAGTCAATTCTCGCTTTCCTTTTGCCTCTCCTCGCAGGAGAAGGCGGGCATAGAATCTTCCAGCATTTTCTGATTGCCCTGGGTGGCCATTTTGTGATTGGTCCCGCCTTCCATGGCAGCCATTTTTTTGTGGCGCCCACTATTCTATTTAATACTACAAAGCTCTTAAACACTGAAACAGACTGAAGAAAATTCGGGTGCTGAAATGCACCTGATTTATGATTGTAAACTGAGGAGAGATTTGTGCTTTAGGCAAGCAACGATACTTGTGTTATTCTTGCAAATGGGGTTTATTTTGCTTAAACTTCTTACAATTCAGTTGTGTTCCAACAGTTGTTTTTTCACCTTCATCATGGACATGAGGATTTTAAGAGGTTCTCTCCTCAACCTCTCCACTGTTCACATGACTTTTATCGCAACAGAACTAAGTCCTCTTTTGCAACTGCAGGTTGAAATCTAGCCTACTGCACTGAGAATGAAATTCTATGCTTAACCACAAACTGGCAAAAAGTAATGAAGTTAAACTAGCACAGTATATTCATGCACTTAACTGTTGGTTGCCCAAACCCCACCCAGATACACAAGGAAGGCTTTGTGACTGATCCAAAGGGATCTGTCGAGGATGAGCGAGTGGTCGTCAACATGGAAAATGGGGTTCAGTGTGGCCAAGTGCAAAGTGATGCACATTGGAGCCAAAAATCCTAAATATAAATACACATTGATGGGGTCCGAACTGGCAGAGACTGGCCAAGAAAGAGATCTTGGAGTCATAGTAGATAACTCACTGAAAATGTCAAGACAGTGTGCGACTGCAATAA